GGGGCTCCGGAGAGGGGGATCTTCGATCTTCGTCATCACCAACCCTTCTCCATCGCCAATTCCATGATCCTCCCCACCGGGAGTGAGTAATTCCTTCGTAGTCTCACTGGTCGGTGAGGAGTTGGATGAGATTCATCATGTAATTGAGTTAGTTTTGTTAGGGCTTGATCCCTAGTATCCATTATGCTATGAGATTGATGTTGTTATGACTTTGCCATGCTCAATGTTTATCACTTTGGGCCCGAGTGCCATGATTCCAGATCTGAACCGTTTATGTTATCACCATTATATCCATGTCCTAGATCCGATGTTGCAAGTTATAGTCACCTACTACGTGTTATGATTCGGCAACCTCAAAGTGAAAATAGTCGGAACACTTCCCGGTGATGATCGTAGTTTGAGGAGTTCATGTATTCACTATGTGTTAATGCTTTGTTTCGGTTCTCTATTAAAAGGAGGTCTTAATATCCCTTAGTTTTCAAAAGGACACCGCTACCACAGGAGGGTAGGATACAAAAGATGTCATGCAAGTTCTTTCCACAAGCACGTATGACTATTTACGGAATACATGCCTACATTATATTTATGAACTGGAGCCAGTGTCATATAGCCCTAGGTTATGACTGTTATATGATGAATATCATCCAAAGAATTCACTAATCAAATGCCTACAAATTTCTCTCATATTGTTCTTGCTAAGTTACTACTGCCATTATTACTATTGCACTTGCTACAAAATCATTGCTATCACTATTACCGTTACTATTGTTGTTGCTACTACTATTAAAGTTATCATACTACTTTGCTACTGATCACGTTGTTGCAGATAATTAATCTCCAGGTGTGGTTGAATTGACAACTCAGCTGCTAATACTTGCAAATATTCTTTGGCTCCCTTGTGTCGAATCAATAAATTTGGGTTGAATACTCTATCCTTGAAAATTGTTGTGATCCCCTATACTTGTGGGTTATCACACACCTCCACACACCCTCCAATGAAACTAGACGCACCATCAGGACGGGGATAAAACATGGAAGACATTATTCCTACTAAGGGACATCACCGTCACCACACAGCCCCAACCAAGACGCTGAAACTAACAAGAACGAGAACGGGGTCCCTCCCACCGGCGGGGGCCGAGGTCCTCTGCACCTCCATGGCCCAAAAGACATCGAAGATGAGACATACCGGCGGTGGCGCCGACAGGAGAAGGAGGAAAGGCTTTTCTTGTTAGGGAGGAAAGAGAAGTCAACACCTCGTCTCTTTTCCCGTCCCGCCACCTTTGTTTCTTTTCCGAAGATTCGATGACATGTGCGTTAATTCTCAGCAGTAAAGTGGCAGCCTTGAAAAATATTGAGTGAAATGGGTATGTTTAGTTTTTAATCGGTAACAAAGAATATATATCCAAGATTTGAGCAAGTTAATTTGGGTCCAATAAATGAGCTAAAGATATGTTTGTCACTCAATACCAAGAATATATCCAAGATTTGAGCAAGTTAATTGGGGTCCAATAAATGAGGTAAATAGTTATTTAGCTAAAGAAAACATAATTTGGCACAAAATTATTAGTGTCCAACCAAAGTGTTATCATGCAATTAAACATGTTTCTTTCTTTCTAAAAAAAGCTTGGTTACATGGCCAAAGAAAACTTTATTATTTTGCTCAAATTTATTTGTATCCAAATAAGTTGCTCTATGAGTCTTGCAATTTAACACCTCCTTTTCTATTTGAGCTTTTTAAGAAGGATATACAATTCCGCCCATTAAACTAAAGATCAAAAAAGAAGGAAAGAAACACGTCTCCATATCACAATTCTATTCAGATTTATTTAAAAAAAACTTGAGATATGTTAACCAAACCAATAGTACGAACATCTCTAAAAAAATAAGAAATTACAACAAGGTCCCTAGAAGGCTCGCCATCTTCTACCTGAATGGCCGATGGCACACCGTCGGAGCCAGCTTATCATTGTTGATTCAGGACCAAAAGTCACCAAGGCCACAATCCCACTTAACCGGTGACCTGAAAAAGAAGAAATCACCGTCAGGAGAGCCGCTGATTCAAGCTCCAGACCTCTAAAACTTATCACAAGCCTCACACCGGCACCAAAGGCGAGAAAATGGGAAGCAAGAAAAACATCCTGTGTATATTGGCTTGTTCTTGATCGAGAGTTGTATGCCATGCAAAAATAATTTTTGCGGGAATTTATAACCCATACGTCATATAAAGATATCAATAAATGTCATTTTCTTTATTCACATGCTAAATTTCATTAATATTCTTTTTTTAGAATTGGAAATTGCATCAATATTCTTTTCTAGGGATGGGGCGAGATATATGTTGCCAATTTAGGCAGTTCAAATTTTTCATAAGAGCAATGCACAATATGGACCATGGTGTCAATTACGAAAATTGGAGGTGGTCAATGAACTTTCACTCAGGAGGAGCATCCAAGCACTGCCATTTGCTTCTTAAAATATGACCAGAGACAATTGCGTCAAAACCCCTGAGCTATTATCATTTCTCACTTGATGATTATGCATTGGACCTCCTTAAACTCGATTGTCTCCGTTTCTCACGGAGATCAAAATGATTCCCTTGAGTCAAGTGTCATCCTCGCTCGTTCTTTTGCACATCTAGATATTAATCTTTTTCTTTCTAGCGATCCAACTGGCCAATGGCAGAAGAGAAGTGAAAACGAAAGTGTAAACCCATACATGGCGAACTTGTATTGACTTGTTCTTTGTCACAAAGCCATATATCACACGAAACTTAATTGCGCATACGTGACAAGGATATCTAGCAATATAATTTTCTTGCTCAGCATAATAATTGTGTTATTGTTTTCTTGGTGTCTAGAATATATAGACTATTTAGTCTACTACAACAAGTTGTGCCCGGCTCCGGTGATGGAGGTGCGATGACGGCGGCGCGCCTTCGGCTCACTTCGGTGCTTGTAGTTGTTGCTAGGTAGTCTACGGATCTGGATGTAATTTTTATTTCTGATGTTCGTTGTACTGTCATGATTGAAGATGAATAGATTGGAAGTTTTTCCGCAAAAAAAAACTATTTAGAAAGTAGTTCCAAATATGAAAAGTGGAGGTGGTAAACGAACTTTTACTCAGCAACACCCAGGCATTAAGTAGTAAATTTCTTTTATTTTGTCTATAGAAAATAGCATGAAAGCCCATAAGACATTCCAACATACTCCCTTCGTCCCATAATATACTCCCTTCGTTCATTTTTGTAAGACCTTTTAGACATTTAAGACAGCACCTAAAACAGTTCAATTTTAACTGTCCTAAACGACTTACAAAAGTGAACAAAGGGAGTAATAAATTTTTTGTAGTGTCAGAAACAGTCTTATATTATGGAACGGAGTGAGTAATTGACAAGGAAATCCAGTTCCATCCGACTGAAGTGTAGTGTGATGTAGGGAGGACAAATGGCACGCAGCAAAAACCAGTAGGATCGCGATGTGATGATAATCTAATCATTCGAATGTCAGCCCCGTAGTACGTACCCACATGCCACAAAGTGGAGTATCCCTTCCTCTCACTGTCGCAGGACGAGTGACAAACTAAGCTTGTGATCCTGCGTCCAGAGCCGCGGCATCTTCCAAGCACTTGTCCATACCAGTACTACTCTTTGGGCTATGAGTTATAAATAAATCATAAACTATCAGTCTAAGACTCTAGGTCCTAGTACTACTTGAAGATGATGGCCTTGGAATTGCTGCGAAAATTCAGCCCCACATGACACTATATCCACACATGACTATGTGTGCAAAGACAATAATTTTGATGAAGTCAAGTGTTTCTTTTTTCTGTCAACTCAAATGGTGCAAGGAAATCTGCCTAGGGCCTCGTTGGATTCTGGTAGAAACATTCCGTTCCAGCTGACCGGCGACAAGTGCTACCGCGGTGCAGGTCGCCCGGCAGTCGCAGACGACCGGCGACAGCGAGGCAGCACGTGAAAATGATGGTCAGCAAGAACTCTTCCAGTCTGACTGGCTACCGCCCATCAAGGTCTTTTATGTGAATTTCCACATGCATGTACATACAGAAGAGGAGAAAAAAATAGCGAAACAGCTATGCAGACGATAAACTCCATGGACGACAGGTGCACGATTTTCATCTAGCCGTCTGCTGCACTTTGATAATATGCACGGACGCACGGATATGCCCTATCGTGCACAAATCGTCTGCTATGCGTCGTGTGCATAGCAGCGCTCAAAAAATAGCATTGGTTTTGTGTGACTAGTATTTATTTACTTATTTCCGAGAGAGAAAACATTGACTGATGGTGATAAGCTGACAAGTCACCGGGAAGCTGACTGGCAGAGAATGCAGAGTGGCCATCACCAACCATAAATAAATTAACCAACAGATCATCTCTGTACCATATGCCCTAATTGACCTCTTCCAACGACTTTGTGGATGAGCACGCACAGCAACGTCAAGCAAGCATGTGAACATTGTCAAACTTCAAGTAAGATGACTTAGGAAGGAATGATGATAAAGCATCAGAACGGCAAATGGTTGCATCATCGACTTCTCAGAAGAACGGAACACGGGCCGACACATATCTGATGAATCATCTTAGTGTTGGACTTGACTATGACAACACGTCGCGGTGCGGCGTAAATAAGCCCCAGAGAAAGTTTTTCAACAATATGGTACTTCCTCCGTAAACTAATATAAGAGTGTTTAGATCACTATTTTAGTTATCTAAACGCTCTTCTATAAATTTACAGAGGGAGTAAGAAAATACATCCTTCGGATAAGAACATTTGGACTACATAATTGAGGTTTGACAGCTGGTACAAGGCACGATTAGTAGGAATGTTTGAGTGAAATCGACTGATGGCTTTTAACTTTGGAACGCTGGAACAGAATAAATGTTGAATCTCCAGATGCAGGCCTTGCGAGCACCGTGACTTCTTCACAGGAATGGAGGAAGAATCACCCATCGGCGGGGGTACTTGGGCCGCCCGTCCTTACCGTCGAAGAGCTGCACAAGAAAGAAGCAATTGTCAGTAAATCCATGCAGTTTTCACAGGTTTTGTTCAGTGTTCAGTAATTCAGTCTGCAGAGAAGAGGTACACTTGCCTTCCTCAGGCGGCTGTGCTTTCCGAGCGCCCAGTTGGTCATGATAGCAGCGGCCACAGCGAGGAAGACGTAGCCCGCCACGGTCTGTGTGGCGATGTTGAACCCCAGCCATTGGTAGATCTCGGTGGTGTAGTTTGCGCATGTCACAATGTTGAACAGGAAACCCCGTGGGATCTGGTAGCCGCCGCTGCCGGTCGGGCTCCTGAGGTTCCTCAGCAGGATGTGGCAGTAGAAGTTTGCGATCTGGCACACGACCCCGATGCCGAACCCAATCTTCATCTGCAGGTCACTCACGGGGGTGTAAAGCGGGTGGTTGCAGTAGTAGGCAATGTAGGCTCCAAAGGTCCAGTAGTAGGCGCAGTTCCTGAAGACGTTTGACACGGGGGAAGTTGCGTGGCTGAAGCGGTGGACGAAGAAGGTCTCCATGATCCTCTTGAAGTAGTGGAAGCAGAAGTAGTACATGGCATAGGTCTGGACCGGGTGGATGACCCGCTCTCCCTCATATCCAAAGTATTTGTAGACAGGCAGGTAATAGAAGATGGGGTAGATGATAAGAGGGCCGACGTATTCCCAGAAGAAGAGCGTGCTGTAGTAGACCTGTGGGCCCAAATCTTTGAAGACCACTGTCAGGGAACCGGAACCTTTCTCGCAGTATTCCGATAGGCTGGCCTTTTGATTGAGGACAACTGGCTTTCCAGATTTTCCAGGTTGTGCAGGGAGGGTGAGCCGTTGCCTGGCAGGATAATACTTCTTAGCTGCATGGTGTAAACACAACTGATTAGCACCCCATACATCATAAGGAAAAACATGTGCTCTTCGTAGAGAAAGCATAAAGAAAAATATGATCAGTTACATCAATCTAAGCCATTCATAATTCAACCACAGAAATCCACCAGAGAAGTGAGTTTCATTCATTGGGTAGATATAATGATAGCATTGCTCTCAATATTAGCAACTAATGGTACAGGCTCGAAAACAGAACGCCAATGATATGAATCTAGCAGGGCATGCTACACTTAGTTCTGCAGTAAATAACTATGTTAAGTCTTGTATGATCAGAATTAGAAGTGCAAGTGCTACTTTTAGACAAAGTCGAAATATGGAGCTACTTATGGCAATAAACAAGTTGACCTACTACAAGGCGAAAGGATGCAGAATTGGGATGTGGCTATTTTCAAGTTTCTAACATATTTGATCAAGATCAGGACGTGAATTATCACTATGTTTCAGCAGAATTGTTTCTTAATTGAGTATAATATTCTATTATGCAGCTCAAAAGTTCAGACTGGTGGCATTTCATACATTAAACAGTACAATGCATCACCATATATGGTGATCTGTCTCCTGACTCAACCACATGGCACCAGATCTGCTTTAATGTCCAACATGAGTAATAACTGTGTGTGAGCGTCACTTTAAGATTACAGGATGGCAAGTTAATAAGCTAACATGGCAGCTCTGTTGGTCTGCAAAAGGTTATAAAGGATAAAGTGATGCCTACAAACTTGGCAATAAATACCATCAGTAATATAGGATTCTTGATCATCAAAGCAGCCAAAATTTTGCTCACTGGCACTCTCGACTAGTTTATAGCAAGTTAAAAAAAATTAGATGCTCAAAGAGGAACAACACACGAAAAAGGGCAAAAGAAAAATGCAGTTATCATGGGGAAACACCTACAGAAAAATAACTTGCTCAGGTCAAACAAGCTAAGGTACAATAAAAATCATGAGACCATCTCGAACAAGCTTGACCAAAGGAAAAGGTGGAGATCACATAGAAAATAAATGCACAACATTAAAAAAAAACTTGCTGTTTCACCCAACAACAAGCGTCATAAACACCTACAAACAGAGAGAGTTGCTGAATATTATGTACTTTTCATATGAAAAGTAACCATGGTTGCAGTTTCAGACTAAGTAGCTTCCAATAGAACATCGATAAACATTACTAGCTTGCCGCAGCAACTTAATTTCTTTTCGAAGGGAGCCACAGAATGTTTTTCACTGTGGGTGATGAGTGCTTTTTCTGTAACACACAGTTGAAATTGTGAAACACAAACCCAAACCAATCTCCAAAGGACGCCTACCGGCCATGCTGTGAATTCAATTATCCTTTTACAATTCTCCCTCTCCAGAACCACAAAGCATATGACTGTAATTAACTGAAACACTCATATGAAAGTGTAATTTTGTGCTTAAATTAAATAAAAAGCTCTGGCGAAGCTTGTGAGTGCATAGATGTGGACGGCTAACTCCCTCCTGCCGAGACAAGATCCCAACAACCTGTAGCGACCGAAAGGACCCTACCAGTACCAGATGAGGGCAAGCAAAAGCAAGCGAGGAGGGCAAAACACTGGCTACAGCACATTCACTGCACTGATGTGATTGTCAAGCAGTACTAGATATGACCCAAACACAGTACAAAAATTCAGCTCATCTACTTGTTCACTGACGAATTTGGTACTTGGTTCAACCAAAGCAGCATCCCCAGTGAACTCATCTGGTCACCACACAGACTGAATTGCGGTTGACGGTGCTAGTATTTTTTTCAGATTTGAACCCAAATCTAGAAGTTAGAAGGCATTGGTGAGAGGAAAGAGGTGATTAGACGTACTCTTGGCGTGGATGGCCTCCTGCAGATCCGCGACCTTGGCCTGCGAAATCGCGCCCACGAGTCAGTCCAAGCTCGAGCCGCTCCAGCGGTGTCCACGAGATCTTATAATAAACCCTCAAAACGAGGGCCAGAATTGTCGAGGGACGGAGCTGGCAGAGAGGCGCGTACCGAGTCCTTGAGCTCGATGCCGCCCTTGACGACCTCGCGGCCGCTCCGGGACACGACGGAGACCTTCATGCTCCCTCCGCTGGTGGCTTCGGCGGCAGCAAGGCGAGGCGAGGTCTTCCCTTTCCCTGGAGCCTGCGGTGTGGAGAGGAGGAAGGCTGGGTGGGGGAGAAGGGGTCGGAGGGGGAGGCGTATTTGAGTGAGATCCCGCGGCGGTGGGAAGGGGACGGGCGGGTGCGGGCCGGTGGGGCGTTGGGCGGACGGGAGGGGCCCACCGGAGTTATGCGGGCGTTAAGGAGGAGGATGCAGCGTCTTGACGCGGACCGGGTCTCCGTGGTCACGGCCCAGGACTCCTTGTGTACCAGCCGAGTCGTTAACCGGTGCTACCTACGACTACAAGCTTTTTTTTTAAGCATCAGTACAGACACGAGCGCTCATATACACGCGTATACACTCATTTCTATGAAAACACACACGCACACCCTACCCCTATGAGCACCTCCGAGAGACTGAGCCGGCATATCATCTTGAGATTTACGAAGTCATCGTAAGCGTCTCGTCGTCGACGGGAACGTCTCCTTCCACTGAAAGCGCATCGCCGAAAATTCTGAAATAAATCCAGAAATAATGCGAGCAGCATGATTTGAACCCTGGTGGGTTGGGGATACCACTGTCCACCTAACCAACTCAACCACAGGTTGATTCGCGACCTACGACTATAAACTGCCTACATGAAAAACTAGTAAAACTTACACAACCCAGGTGTTAAAAAAATAACTGTTTTTTTTGCATGGTAATACGTGTCAATTCATATCATAAATATCGAAATACGAGTAACGTAAAGATCGACATGACAAAACTGAAAAGACAACATGATGTCTCCGAGCTTGACACCAGTGCCCGTCGCCCACAACAGCCACCGAAGGAAAAAAAAAATAACGGATCACCTTCTCACCCCGAGCTCGACGCCGCTCCATCATTGATATGCAGTTTTGCGGACCTCCAAGATGGCTCACCAAAGATGAAGCCATATGATGTTGAACGAAATTAGTCCCGCACTATTTTTTTTCTAATGAAATACGCTTGTACTCTTTTTTTAGTCTATCTATACGCTTGCACTCTTCTAAAAAACTATTGGTGCTCCCACCGTTCATAAATATAAAATGTTTCAGCTATTTTAATGTGGACTACGTACTTACAGACTGATCAGGCCCGAACCTAGAATCTTAAACGAACGGCTATTTAGAATCAGCTTTGTTAGTGAACCTAAATCTGGATTGGGCCATTTTTAATGCAATTTTCTGAAGCACCTTAAAGTGTATTTGGATGGCGAAACTGATTCACAGAATCAGCGCGAATCAGCTTCGCCACTGAAGCGAATATCCACATGTGAAAAAAATTCAAGCAAAGCTGAAACAAACAAGGCCGAACTGAGTGAACATTCACACTAAAACGTGAACATATACATTTGATCTAGAGATAAGTTAAAACATCTTATATTTATTAACTGATGGAGTACTCACTTGCAGTGTGATCTTCCTGTACAAAAAAGGAACTTCTAGTATGATGATCTTGCATGCGTAAGCTCCGCAAAAAAAAAAACGTGTTTATCACTTTCAGAATAACGTGCAAACTTTGTATCCGCGGATGTGATCCTTCGTGCACACACAAGAACACCATTGTGTTGTGTAGAGAGTTTCAGCCGACTACAGACAACAGAGATGGTGTATGGACCGGGTTCAGCACGACGGGATTAGAGAGAGGGTGTCAGTTAGTTGGGTGGGGAGTAGGCCGGGCGGCCCAACGGCCCCGAACGACTGAACGCGGCGGCCGGCCGTAATTCCTCGCACACCATCTTCCCGTGCTCCCATTCCATCGCATCGCATCGCATGATGCACTTGCACGCCGTCCGTCACATGCCCCGCTGTACCACGTTTACCAACACCGACGACCAACGCACAGCCGCCCACCTGCACGTATGTATCGTTATAGACGTGACGATTGAATGTGGTGGAAAGTTTGTGTGCATTCCCGAAGAAATCGTAGTTTTGAAAAATGCCATTCGATATGGACCGCGTCGGCAACCGGCGACTATTTGCAACATGATCAATGTTGTGCTCGCTCGAAGGTTTGCAAGACAGGTCTTTGCAACGTGACTCATGTTGTGCTCCCGATTTAAGCGTGGTGATTGGCCATAGCATTGTTTGCTCGCAGTGCGTATAGACCGGCCACCATCCCTTACA